AACTCCATGCCACCAAACAGCACTATCATCATTTTCACAATATTATGCCAACCTCAATGGTGTGGAAATATATAGAAAACACAGGAAAAATCACATTTTTAACTGCATTGGGCCTTTAAATACAGAATGGGACTACATTACATAATACCATTTTTTAACCAGGCAAGAACAGCAGGTTCGATGGGAAGAAGCGGGGTGGGGAGGGGTGGCTTTCAGGGTACCACACTGGGGGTGAGGGGTAACCAGGATTTTTTTTGTTTTGTCACTGTCTCAGATCTGGGGGGTTTCTTTTACTTCTTATACAGTTTTTGGTGTAGGCCATCAACTCTGTAATTTGTGCATGGCCATGTTGTAATTTTAGTTCTCATGGAAATAATTGTTCTTTGCATGAGATTAGAAGAACCTGTTGTTGTTTATTTCTTCTAATTTTTACATTGCCATTTTTCACTTTGGAACTGAAGCTGGTTTTTAATGATTTTTTATTTAACCTTTATTTAACTAGGCAAGTCAGATAAGAACACATTCTTATTTACAATGACGGCCTACACCGGCCAAACCCGGACGACGCTGGGCCAATTGTGCGCCGCCCTATGGGACTCCCAATCACGGCCGGTTGTGATACAGCCTGGAATCGAACCAGGGTGCCTTAGAGTGCTGCGCCACTCAGGATGCATGGTTGATTCCAGAACCTCTGACAGGCTCTAATGTAATGCATGGCGAAATCAGCATAAGAGTGCCACCTGCCGACAAGATTCGCTAGTGCAAATTATTCTGCACATGCGTAAGATGTTACCCATCATGCACCTCACGTGAAATAATGTTATTTCTTTACTGTCACAATTTAAAACAGGAATATATTTATACTATCCTAATATTCTGCAATGTATGGTTATGACCGGACACGTTGAACAGGGCATGAGATTTGGTTCTGGGTGCCGAGATTCGTATTACCGCTATAGGGAATGTCATGTCAGTGAATCCCTCACCAATTTTACTTTTTTACGGTAATACACTCTGGTTTCTCTTCAGATCGCATAAATCTTTCGCCTTTTACTAAAGATTTCCGTGGAGAGGAACATTATGAGTATCAAATAATTTTTTGATGCCCTGCTTTACGGCGGGGCTACCTTTGATTGTGAAAGAAAATTATAATGTTATATTCAATCTAGGTGGTGCCAAAATGTCTGGATGACTTTCATGTAATCCAGTTGTTCTTAACTCGCGGCTGAGACAACCTGCATCAATTTGGGTCCAGTTGAGATTCAGGGCTGGCTCTAGGCCTTTTGGGGGCCCTAAACGACATATTTTTAGTGGCCCCACTCTTGACAGCAAGAAAAATGTTCATTTTGAATTAAATTTAATGCAATTCTACTCAATTTGCCATAAGACAGATAATTGTTTGCAGTTTTAAAGCAAGTTTTCTGCAGTCCTACACACTCCCGAGTGGCGCAGTGGTCTAAGGCACTGCATCGCAATGCTAGCTGTGCCACTAGAGATCCTGGTTCCAATCCAGGCAACGCCAGGGTTGTGGGTTCGATTCCCACAGGGGGTATAAGAAAAAAAAAAAGGATAATAATAAAGTGACTAAACTGTAAGTCGCTCTGGATAAGAGCGTCTGCTAAATGACTTAAATGTAAATTTTGCCATGATGGCGGTTTTGGAGCAGTGGCTTCTTCCTTGCTGAGCAGCCTTTCAGGTTATGTCGATATAGGACTTGTTTTACTGTGGATATAGATACTTTTGTACCTGTTTCCTCCAGCATCTTCACAAGGTCCTTTGCTGTTGTTCTGGGATTGATTTGCACTTTTCGCACAAAAGTACGTTCATCTCTAGAAGACAGAACGCTTCTCCTTCCTGAGCGGTATGACGGCTGCGTGGTCCCATGGTGTTTATATTTGCGTACTATTGTTTGTGCAGATGAACGTGGTACCTGCGTTTGGAAATTGCTCCCAAGGATGAACCAGACTTGTGGAGGTCTACATAGTTTTTTCTGAGGTCTTGGCTGATTTATTTTGATTTTCCCATGATGTCAAGCAAAGACACACTGAGTTTGAAGGTAGGCCTTGAAATACATCCACAGGTACACTCAAATGATGTTAATTAGCCTATCAGAAGCTTCAAAAGCCATGACATCATTTTATGGAATTTTCCAAGCTGTTTAAAGGCACAGTCAATTTAGTGTATGTAAACTTCTGACCCACTGGAATTGTGATACAGTGAATTATAAGTAAAATGATCTGTCTGTAAACAATTGTTGGAAAAATTACTTGTGTCATGCACAAACTAGATGTCCTAACCGACTTGCCAAAACTATAGTTTGTTAACAAGAAATTGGTGGAGTGGTTGAAAATCGACTTTTAATGACTCCAACCTAAGTGTATGTAAACTTCCGACTTCAACTGTTTGTATGTATGTATGTATGTATGTATGTATGTATGTATATATATATATAAATAAATAAACACACATATATATATACACATACATACATATATATATGTAGGTATGTATGTGTATATACAGTGGGGGGAAAAAGTATTTAGTCAGCCACCAATTGTGCAAGTTCTCCCACTTAAAAAGATGAGAGAGGCCTGTAATTTTCATCATAGGTACACGTCAACTATGACAGACAAATTGAGAGAAAAAAAATCCAGAAAATCACATTGTAGGATTTTTAATGAATTTATTTGCAAATTATGGTGGAAAATAAGTATTTGGTCACCTACAAACAAGCAAGATTTCTGGCTCTCACAGACCTGTAACTTCTTCTTTAAGAGGCTCCTCTGTCCTCCACTCGTTACCTGTATTAATGGCACCTGTTTGAACTTGTTATCAGTATAAAAGACACCTGTCCACAACCTCAAACAGTCACACTCCAAACTCCACTATGGCCAAGACCAAAGAGCTGTCAAAGGACACCAGAAACTAAATTGTAGACCTGCACCATGCTGGGAAGACTGACTCTGCAATAGGTAGGCAGCTTGGTTTGATCAACTGTGGGAGCAATTATTAGGAAATGGAAGACATACAAGACCACTGATAATCTCCCTCGATCTGGGGCTCCAAGCAAAATCTCACCCTGTGGGGTCAAAATGATCACAAGAACGGTGAGCAAAAATCCCAGAACCACACGGGGGGACCTAGTGAATGACCTGCAGAGAGCTGGGACCAAAGTAACAAAGCCTACCATCAGTAACACACTATGCCGCCAGGGACTCAAATCCTGCAGTGCCAGACGTGTCCCCCTGCTTAAGCCAGTACATGTCCAGGCCCATCTGAAGTTTGCTAGAGTGCATTTGGATGATCCAGAAGAGGATTGGGAGAATGTCATATGGTCAGATGAAACCAAAATATAACTTTTTGGTAAAAACTCAACTCGTCGTGTTTGGAGGACAAAGAATGCTGAGTTGCATCCAAAGAACACCATACCTACTGTGAAGCATGGGGGTGGAAACATCATGCTTTGGGGCTGTTTTTCTGCAAAGGGACCAGGACGACTGATCCGTGTAAAGGAAAGAATGAATGGGGCCATGTATCGTGAGATTTTGAGTGAAAACCTCCTTCATCAGCAAGGGCATTGAAGATGAAACGTGGCTGGGTCTTTCAGCATGACAATGATCCCAAACACACCGCCCGGGCAACGAAGGAGTGGCTTCGTAAGAAGCATTTCAAGGTCCTGGAGTGGCCTAACCAGTCTCCAGATCTCAACCCCATAGAAAATCTTTGGAGGGGGTTGAAAGTCTGTGTTGCCCAGCAACAGCCCCAAAACATCACTGCTCTAGAGGAGATCTGCATGGAGGAATGGGCCAAAATACCAGCAACAGTGTGTGAAAACCTTGTGAAGACTTACAGAAAACGTTTGACCTGTGTCATTGCCAACAAAGGGTATATAACAAAGTATTGAGAAACTTTTGTTATTGATCAAATACTTATTTTCCACCATAATTTGCTAATAAATTCATTAAAAATCCTACAATGTGATTTTCTGGAATTTTTTTTCTCATTTTGTCTGTCATAGTTGACGTGTAACTATGATGAAAATTACAGGCCTCTCTCATCTTTTTAAGTGGGAGAACTTGCACAATTGGTGGCTGACTAAATAAAATTTTTCCCCACTGTATTATATCTTGGACAGAATAATGCTGCTTTATGTGGTCAGAACTTATCAGATGGTGATAACAGCAATACATTTATTAAGAAACTCTTCTTGTGAATGAATGGACTTGTATCAAGATCCAAGTAGTCACAAATGTTGACATTTGGCAAATAACACTCAATAATGACAATCTACGCTTTGACACTACAGTATTTAAAATCACAGTTTCTTCATTTACTTTTTGTGGTACGATTTCAGTGATGTTGCATGCTACACAATAATACAATCAATGGAACATGATGTTTGAGTGTAAAAGTTAAATACAAATGAAGGCACGATGTGTGAGAGTTTGCAAGTGCAGTCTTTTTGCAGGCCTATATATTTATCCCCTCTTGTGAAACTGGAAACAAGTGAATATTCCTTTTATGCGAGACAAGTGACTTCCTTCTTTGAGCTTCCCAGAATGTACAGAAATATACAGCGAGTGTTTACAGAAAACATGAAATAACTGGTTGAAAAAACACCACAAGCCCCCAACCAATGACAACATTAATGTATAAAAGTTAAATTTTTTGTTGTTGTATAAAGTAGATTCTTTGCATGATCCTTCACATTTGATTCCTTGGCTTGGACACTCAAGACGTAGAGCGAGTTAAGAGAGGTAAGAACATATCAGTGTGCTTCACCTTGTCAATCATGTCAATTCAATAGCAGAAACCTTTCTATATTAGTGCAAGTTGAGTAGCTCCTGGCTCTCACACTATCCAGTTCTGTTGGTCATGTTTGGTCTGTGGTCGGTACATACAGTCACACTTCCTAATTGCACTTGAGGTTAGTTCATGTAGAAAAAAAGAAACTAGAAGCAGGACATCAATGTCTGTTCTTGTCATTTGTCATTTCATAGGTCTCTGCAGCTACAGGAAGCCCACTGGGTCACACAAAGCAGTCCTGCAGGACAGCCGGTTAATCCTGCAGATCTCTCTCGAGGTACTGCTGAAGACGCAGGCATCGTGGACAGGAGGGCGACTGGGCCTTGCAGGTTGCGTGAAACATTGCCTTACACTCTTTACACCTGAGTGGGAGACAGAGAGAGAGTGTGTGGAGAGAAAGAGCGGGGGCGCTGATCACCTGAGTGATCACATCCCAATGTATTGAAGTGATAAGGGAACAGGGCCCTACCTGGCGGTGGTGTCAAACTGGAAGGGGAAGATGATGTCACTGGCGTGACAATTCTGGCAGATGTAGCCCTTCTGGGTGCAATGGTCACATTGTTGAATGTGGTTGGAGGCAAACCCGATCAACATATTAAAGTAGGCCTCATATGTTCCCTCCGCTATCTAAACACACACATGGAAAAATAGACAATTTAAGCTTATTAACTACATCTACTTGGTTTCTGGTGGTGTAGTTTTGCAGGTTAAGAATGTGTATTATTTCATTTAAAAGTGAAATGACTAACAGGTACGTAATGACTGTATATAGTAGATACCTGTTGTAAGTCCATGACACTGTAGAGATGGCTTGATTCTAACAGGTATGTCCTTAGGCCCAGTCTAGAGAAAAATAACACAATAGTTAGACAAAGTCAATAAAGGCTTATGTGGAAATAATCAATGCATTGCCTTTTGGCCCGAGTCTAGATCACATAAACAAAAGAATGACCTGGGATGACCGGAGTTCTCAGAAAGCAGGATCAATATGATCCAGCTCACTTTGATAAACTTGCATTTGACCCAGTTCTGCAATACAAAAATGACACACATACAAAAGTGGATCACACACACCTGGCCTGAATATTCTTGCATGCCCCACTGCGGCAGGTGAGCAGGTAGTTTCCTAGAAGCTGCAGCCTCTGTCTGAGGCTGTGTGCCTGGGCCATGGCCTCAACATGCTCCAACAGGTCAGGGTTCAAAAGGTGAAGGTTGAACAGGGGCTCATGTTCAATCTGAGACAGCAGCTTAAGGGCCTGTCTGGAGACCTACATGTACACAACCAGGGCAGATCAACAACAAGCACAAATAATATTGATCAAAGGAGAACTGGTTTAGTTCAATGTCAAAACAATAAAATAAAAAAAGAGACAAAACAATTACTAAACCAAAAAAAAGAAGTTATTTTTCCATAGATACGTGTGCAAATAAGAACAGAGTTCATACACATTTTGACAGATGGAATTCCAAGACTTCTCCATGAGTTTTAACCAAATGTCCATGACCAACAGTTGGCGGTGTCTCTATGTACGTATAAAAAAGTATGCGTAATGTGGTATCGACACTGGGAGGCTGCTCTCTGATCCCATGTACCATCTCCTGTCGTTGTGCAAGGCACTTAACCCCCCACAAAGTAGAATCCCTGTTAGGCAACTGTATAAAACACGTGGTCAACCCTCAGTCTGGAGAGCTACTGGGTGTGCAGGCTTTTGATCAAACCCTGCTCAAATCAGAGCCAGTTTATCAAGGTCCGGTTGAGCAGCTCATTTCTAAAATGTGGTTTGTTAGTGGGGGTAAGTGCTGTTATTGTAAAGTGGAATTGTCCAGGAGCAACAACGGCTCAGCCGCGAAGTGGTAGGCTCACACAAGCTCACAGAACGGGACCGCCAAGTGCTGAAGCGCGTAAAAATTGTCTGTCCTCGGTTGCAACACTCACTACCGAGTTCCAAACTGCCTCTGGTAGCAAAGTCAGCACAATAACTGTTTGTCGGGAGCTTCATGAAATGGGTTTCCATGGCAGAGCAGCCGCACACAAGCCTAAGAACACCATGCGCAATGCCAAGCGTCGGCTGGAGTGGTGTAAAGCTCGCCGCCATTGGACTCCGGAGCAGTGGAAACGCGTTCTCTGGAGTGATGAATCACACTTCACCATCTGGCAGTCCGACGGACAAATCTGGGTTTAGCGGATGCCAGAACGCTACCTGCCCCAATGCATAGTGCCAACTGTAATGTTTGGTGGAGGAGGAACAATGGTCTGGGGCTGTTTTTCACAATTCGGGCTAGCCCCCTTAGTTCCAGTGAAGGGAAATCTTAACGCTACAGCATACAATGACATTCTAGACGATTCTGTGCTTCCAACTTTGTGGCAACAGTTTGGGGAAGGCCCTTTCCTGTTTCAGCATGACAATGCCCCCGTGCACAAAGCGAGGTCCATACAGAAATGGTTTCTCAAGATCAGTGTGGAAGAACTTGACTGGCCTGCACAGAGCCCTGACCTCAACCCCATCTAACACCTTTGGGATGAATTGGAACGGCGACTGGATTTTCATGACTATACGAACCCTGAAGAATAAAAACGCTTTAACAAGGATGTGCTTTGACACAAATGTTAGGTGTGTGTATGGTCCATAGACCCGTGAGACACTCACCTCTCGAGGCGTGAGGTCCCAGTTGTGCACCATGCGGGAGGGTATGGCGATGGCGTCACCCTGGTGACAAGAGTCGCAGTAGTACTTCCCTGAGAACTCGCACAGTCTGGCTTTTCCCCGGGAGACCCCCACCGGCTTTGGACAACCTGCAGAGAAGAATGGTGTTAATACATACTCTGTCTCTCCCAGTAACGGCATGGTAAGGGCAACTTAATAGAAACAAAAGTGTTGCCTGTTATTAGGTTGATGAGGTTCAGAGCTACCTGCACACTTGAAGCCCTGAAGGTCCAGCCCCTTCTCTGTGGGCACTGTACATAGATGGGCCAGCAGCACCCCGTCCCCCTTTAGTCTATGCTGCATCAGTCTGTGGATGTTCCCCCCTGCCCCAGGGGCTAACCCGGGGCTATCAGGCTCCCCGTCCTCTTGACTCTCCAGGAAGGAGTCCAGGGCTCCCCTGATGAGGCCCCTCCAGGCACGCGCCTCCTCAGGGCTCTTGGCCCTCAGCTTGAGCGTATCCCTGGTCGTTACAACCCTAAAGAAGGCTGGTCCCCCCAGAGAAACGTCTGGGACAACGTCCCGTATCCCCTCGATGGGGTGGGAACATTGCAGCACCTTCCGCCCATCCTGCACCCGGAAGCCATTGAGAGTCTCTAAGGAGAGGGAGAAGACCAGCGGAGTCCAGTTGCGAGCCTCTGCTTCCTGGGATAGGTACAGCACCGCCTCCTTAATGGCGTCTGACTCAGGGTCTGTGGGACGCGTCCAGTCTAGCTCAAGTGGCGGCTGCTGCTCCTGCTGCTCAACCGCAGTACCCCCTCGCTCGGGACTGGTGGGTACGAAGGGGGACGAAGGGGAAGATTTTGGGGGCTCTTCCAGGATGACACTGCTGTCAGTGGGCTGCAGCACCTCTGAATGGTTGTCAAGGCAGTGCAGCGGGCGGCACTTGTTGACGGCCTCGGCGATGCGGTCCACCCAGTCCTCTGCCTCGTCGTGGTTGGCTGCCCGCAGGTAGAGCCTCTTCCCGGGGAAGGCCAGGTCGAAGCGGCCCTCGGCCGAGGTGATGCGGGCGTCTTCGCAACGCAGCAGGGAGCAGTTGTCACAGCAGGTGCGCTCCTCTGCATTCAGGTAGAGGCGGAACTCGAAGGGCGAGAGCTCGCAGTAGTAGTCGCGCCACATGCCCACTGCGCCCCGCCGCTCCAGATGGCCCAGCTTCAGCAGCCCACGGAAAGGGTTGGACAGGCCTGAAGGATGGAGAGGAAGAGTGAAAGAGAAAAGGGAGGGAATAAAAGAGCGAGTGAAGTCAAGGACGCTATTGAAAAACTGCACAACAGATCTCTAAAGTGTGTGGGCCTTATTTCTGTCCAGATAAAACTTTGCTAATGACACTCAACCGGTATAACAGGTTTTATTGTAACACGAAAACGCAGTGCAAGAATGATATTCAACACAGAAGTTTAACCCCTTAAACTTGTGGTAATTGGCCTATATGGATAGGGCTGAATTGAAATGTTTCTTACAAAATAAATATGGACAGCATATGCATTACCATAGTAGCAATTAAAAGGGAACAGTTTGGAGAATATGGGAAAATTATTAGGCTAAAAGGTGAGGACACAACAGTTCACCTGACACAAGACTGAATCCAAACATTACACTGTTGATTTGTGCATTTTACATTTACTCTACTCTTCGGATACATTCAAAATACCCTGGATACATTCAGTAACATGATAAGAATATTTTAGGAACATTTGGGGTAGGTGCAACATAAGACAAAAAAAGGGATTGAGTAAGAGGTCTAACTGGTGTTCCCAAGTGGCTGCACACCTCTCCAAAGTCATTTCAATGCACTTTTATGACTCAAAGAAGAGTCTTCAACTAGAAGCTGCTTTTATGAGTTCTTCTAGCTGTGTCATGGAAGAACTAGAGCAAGCACACTTGTAGTTGTTTTGAACACAGCCCTGCATACCCACCTTAACACAATTTATGTAGTTGTTTACGCAGTCCAAAAACCATCTGGGTCAAGTGGGCAATTTGAAAGCTTGTTCTATTGCCAACATGACTAGCTGATTCTAAAATACAATCTTACAGTGTTAGGCTTTCACAATGCAATTCTGAGAAGCAATCCAACAAAGATAGGCTCATTCTATAAACGTTGATATTGTATATTACATGAGATTTATGATATAGAAATGTGAAATGCACATTTGAACTCACAGGTGTTTGGCCTTGCTTGTATGACATCAAAGCGGTATTTATTATAATCCTCAACGTCTCATCTTTCAAAATACATCGAGTTCTCATATTAGTTTACAGCATTTCCCTCACTCAGACAACAACAAATGTGCCAAAGTTGCCCAACTAGCAGGAGGGAGGGGGGCAACTTCTTGTCACTCACGCTGCTCAAGTTCAGAATGGCTGTCAGTCAAAACCCATGCAGATCTGTGAAGCGGAGAACCTGAGCTCTGACATTGTGTATAGCATGCCACTGCGTTCCACTTTAGGCGCTTCTCAAATCAAATCTGATTTGTCACATGCGCCGAATACAACAGGTTGTGAAATGTGAAATGCTTACTTACAAGCCCTTAACCAACAATGCAGTTTTAAGAAAAATAAGAGTTAAGAAAATATATACTAAATAAACGAAAGTTTAAAAAAATGAAGAGTAACAATAAGAGACGGTGGCAGAAACATTATGTACAAAATAAGCTACAAACCACGCGAAAGATAGCTGCCGTTTTACGGGCTATCTCCTCTGGCGCCATTGAAATCAGAGTCAAAATCTGCCATTTTCAACCCGTATATGGGTTCGAGTGTAAAGGGCTACACATACTGTATCAAAAGGAGGAAGTACCAACAAGATAATTATAAATAGGTTATCTGAAGTTGTAAGCAAAAATGAGGAAGCACATACCAAGAAGGTAAGACAGAATTCATGTACATTACTGATAGAGGCATTCAAAAGTTCTCACTGACAGGGCTTGAGCCTTGATATTTGTTTCACATTAATGGAAGTTGTGGACTGTCCAATGACTCACAAACATTGTCATTGAACAAACAAATCTTTGTTTCATCTTGCTTCTCTTAAACTGAAGTGTGACAAAAACCAGAACAATGGATGAAAACTCCTCCTGTCACCTCAGGACCAAGGCCACTCTTATGGTTGTGGTTGAGCACTGGTTACAACAGACTGCATCACAAGGTGTGTTTTTTATTTATTTTATTTCACCTTTATTTAACCAGGTAAACCAGTTGAGAACAAGTTCTCATTTACAACTGCGATCTGGCCAAGATAAAGCAAAGCAGTGCGATAAAAACAACAACACAGAGTTACATATGGGGTAAAACAAAACAAAGTCAAAAATACAACAGAAATACATATATATATACAGTGTGTGCAAATGTAGCAAGTTATGGAGGTAAGGCAATAAATAGGCTATAGTGCAAAATAATTACAATTAGTATTAACACTGGAATGATAGATGTGCAAGAGATGATGTGCAAATAGAGATACTGGGGTACAAATGAGCAAAATAAATAACAATATAGGGATGAGGTAGTTGGGCGGGCTAATTTCAGATGGGCTGTGTACAGGTGCAGTGATCGGTAAGGTGCTCTGACAACTGATGCTTAAAGTTAGTGAGGGAGATAAGTGTCTCCAGCTTCAGAGATTTTTGCAATTTGTTCCAGTCATTGGCAGCAGAGAACTGGAAGGAATTGCGGCCAAAGGAGGTGTTGGCTTTGGGGATGACCAGTGAGATATACTTGCTGGAGCGCAGACTACGGGTGGGTGTTGCTATGGTGACCAATGAGCTAAGATAAGGTGGGGATTTGCCTAGCAGTGATTTATAGATGGCCTGGAGCCAGTGGGTTTGGCGACGAATATGTAGTGAGGACCAGCCAACAAGAGCGTACAGGTCACAGTGGTGGGTATTATATGGGGCTTTGGAGACAAAACGGATGGCACTGTGATAGACTACATCCAATTTGCTGAGTAGAGTGTTGGAGGCTATTTTGTAAATGACATCGCCGAAGTCAAGGATCGGTAGGATAGTCAGTTTTACGAGGGCATGTTTGGCAGCATGAGTGAAGGAGGCTTTGTTGCGAAATAGGAAACCGATTCTAGATTTAACTTTGGATTGGAGATTCTTAATGTGAGTCTGGAAGAAGAGTTTACAGTCTAACCAGACACCTAGATATTTGTAGTTGTCCACATACTCTAGGTCAGACCCGTCGAGAGTAGTGATTCTAGTCGGGTGGGCGGGTGCAAGCAGCGTTCGGTTGAAGAGCATGCATTTAGTTTTACTAGTGTTTAAGAGCAGTTGGAGGCTACTGAAGGTGTGTTCAAGAAGTGGTAGAAGTTGTGGTGTCCCTGCTTTTGGGAGCTCACCTATCTGCCTGCGGTGAACCACGCTGGGGGGAGACTGGGGGGTCTCGGGCTCTGGGGGGGGAGAGGTCAATCCGTTCACACAAGCTGGGCCAGACCGTAGCAAAGACTCATCGGGGTCAACCAGTTGCTCAAGGTGTGGCTTATAGATGTCATCCTCAGAGATCCAGGAGTGGGAATGCTGAGAAAGGGAAGATAGGTCTTACTTAGTGATGATTGGTGGCTAATTTAGCAAATCTTGAAATATAATTGTTGTTTCAGCTTGTAACCATATAAATCCACAGATGCTTTATAATTTAGCAAAACTTTGCACAATATGACTGCAAAGGTCAAGGAGAACTCAAAGAACTTAAGGTCGGGTCAATCACATATGAGGAGTGAGTCAGACTGAGTCTGATGAAGAGAATGAGAGAGAGACAGAGAGAAAAAAAGAGATTCAACTTACTGTGATTGAGTCTGTAGACACCCTCCTGCTAAGCACGCTGGTAGTGCGGGGTAGGTTCGTGTGGGCTGAAGGCTCCGAGGTGCTCTTAGCAGAATCTTCGGTCTTTTTCTCCCGTGGCGTCTCTGTGACAGGCAGGTGAGGAGTTGTCGCTGTTCTCTCCACACAGTCACTGTGACTGGAGGGCACTTCATTGTGCGAGTACACTTCGGCGGGGACATCAAAGTGCACTTCGGAAGGGACATGGGTCTCAGTGGAAGGTTCCTCCTGGTCTGACCCCACTGAAGCAGGGTTAGAAGAGCCAGTGAGAGGTGTGAATGGCCCCTGGGTCTCGCTATCAGAGCCGCTGAAGGCCGTGTTCTCTGAGAGGTGGTCTGCGCCCGGAGTGGAAACGTACGAATCCTCGCGCATGGAGTCCTGACTGGAGTTGGCACTCTCCCTGAAGTCTGCCAGAACACTGCAGAGTTACAGAAAGTAGGAGATGTCAGAGGTCGACAGAAATCACCAAATGAAACGAGGGACAACGTGTTAGAAAGTTCCTTTATCTAAGTACTTAACACATTTCTGTACACATTGTTAGTTGAAGCATGTTGCTTACATCACCACAGTTGCGGTGGATTTCATTCTTGCGTGGGTACGCCTACAGGCATTGACTGCAATTTGCTTTGGATAAAAGCATCTGCTAAATGTCTTAAGGGTTTGGAGATTAACCATGGCTGTGATTCAAAGGGCCTCAATTCTTCGGGCAGGCACACTGACCCACACTCACACACACAACTTACTCTTTAAGAGGCCTCTTGGCATTGCCATTGTTCTCCAGTTTGGCGGAGCTCTCCAGGTCACATGGCCAGGGCTCCTTGTCTGGGCTCTTGGGGTCGTGACCCTGCAGCAGACTGTCTGAGCTTAGGCTGGAGGAGAGCTGAGATGACCCTGTGGTGTCCAGGCTCAAATTAGAAGAATTCAGAGGGGTCCTACCCCCTGAGACACCCCCAATCCCCCTCCCCAGCACCCCTAACCCCTCTTGCTGCACTTCGACCATATCTGACCCGCCGGATGACTGCGACACCGTATCCCAGGATTCCTTGCTTTTGGTGAGACCGGGGAGGTCGAGACCGTCAGCCTGGGTGGCGGGGCAGAGGCCGGCCAGAGCCAGAGGGGTGGTGGTCCACTCGTTGAGCACGGCCGACTTGTACGAAAGGTTGAAGATCAGGGAGGCCAGGCCCTGGATATAACTGAGCAGCACCTCACGCTCCTCAGGGTCCAGGAGCAGGGCGGTGGGCTGGTAGTGGGCCTGCAGTTTGGAGCCCTCACGGAACAGGGAGGCCAGGTAGCACTCCATCAGGCCGTGGTTGAGGGCCAGCCGCAGCCAGGCCCGGCAGCGACCCACGTCCGTACCCACGAAGCTCAGCTTCTCCAACTCCGTGATCACGTCACTGAGGGGCACCAGGAGGAGACATTACATCATTTGTCATTACAGATAATCGTTTCATGTACAGTATACAGTACACATATTGCAACAATACACATCTACAGCAAGCTACACCATCTGATCTTAAACCTTTATTATTGTCATTCTGCTTAACCACTGTAAACAGGGTATCTGCAGGGTCCAAGAACTTTAATTTAAGACCTTTTTAATGCCACTTGGAATGCAATTTAATACCAATTTTGAGGTCTACCTAAGCCACACCTGCTAATATTCCTCTCCAGAAATGAGCCCCCCAATTTTTTTTTTTTTTTAGGGCTGGCTCTTTCACCACAGGCTATAGCCTTCATGGCTCATATTATCAAGAAGGTGTACCATTTTAGCAATGTACATTCTCCTGTAGCCTAATGGATGTAGTAGCATAGTGGTTGGCTATAGATGGCTGAACAGCACTTTTCAATTAGATGTGGCAGCGCTACACCACTTTATATAGTTTAGCCTAATAACATACACTGCTCAAAAAAATAAAGGGAACACTTAAACAACACAATGTAACTCCAAGTCAATCACACTTCTGTGAAATCAAACTGTCCACTTAGGAAGCAACACTGATTGACAATACATTTCACATGCTGTTGTGCAAATGGAATAGACAACAGGTGGAAATTATAGGCAATTAGCAAGACACCCCCAATAAAGGAGTGGTTTTGCAGGTGGTGACCACAGACCACTTCTCAGTTCCTATGCTTCCTGGCTGATGTTTTGGTCACTTTTGAATGCTGGCGGTGCTTTCACTTTAGTGGTAGCATGAGACGGAGTCTACAACCCACACAAGTGGCTCAGGTAGTGCAGCTCATCCAGGATGGCACATCAATGCGAGCTGTGGCAAGAAGGTTTGCTGTGTCTGTCAGCGTAGTGTCCAGAGCATGGAGGCGCTACTAGGAGACAGGCCAGTACATCAGGAGACGTGGAGGAGGCCGTAGGAGGGCAACAACCCAGCAGCAGGACCGCTACCTCCGCCTTTGTGCAAGGAGGAGCAGGAGGAGCACTGCCAGAGCCCTGCAAAATGACCTCCAGCAGGCCACAAATGTGCATGTGTCTGCTCAAACGGTCAGAAACAGACTCCATGAGGGTGGTATGAGGGCTCGACGTCCACAGGTGGGGGTTGTGCTTACAGCCCAACACCGTGCAGGACGTTTGGCATTTGCCAGAGAACACCAAGATTGGCAAATTCGCCACTGGCGCCCTGTGCTCTTCACAGATGAAAGCAGGTTCACACTGAGCACATGTGACAGACGTGACAGAGTCTGGAGACGCCGTGGAGAACGTTCTGCTGCCTGCAACATCCTCCAGCATGACCGGTTTGGCGGTGGGTCAGTCATGGTGTGGGGTGGCATTTCTTTGGGGGGGCCACACAGCCCTCCATGTGCTCGCCAGAGGTAGCCTGACTGCCATTAGGTACCGAGATGAGATCCTCAGACCCCTTGTGAGACCATATGCTGGTGCGGTTGGCCCTGGGTTCCTCCTAATGCAAGACAATGCTAGACCTCATGTGGCTGGAGTGTGTCAGCAGTTCCTGCAAGAGGAAGGCATTGATGCTATGGACTGGCCCGCCCGTTCCCAGACCTGAATCCAATTGAGCACATCTGGGACATCATGTCTCGCTCCATCCACCAACGCCACGTTGCACCACAGACTGTCCAGGAGTTGGCGGATGCTTTAGTCCAGGTCTGGGAGGAGATCCCTCAGGAGACCATCCGCCACCTCATCAGGAGCATGCCCAGGCGTTGTAGGGAGGTCATACAGGCACGTGGAGGCCACACACACTACTGAGCCTCATTTTGACTTGTTTTTTTGACATTACATCAAAGTTGGATCATCCTGTAGTGTGGTTTTCCACTTTAATTTTGAGGGTGACTCCAAATCCAGACCTCCATGGGTTGATAAATTTGATTTTCATTGATAATTTTTGTGTGATTTTGTTGTCAGCACATTCAACTATGTAAAGAAAAAAGTATTTAATAAGATTATTTCATTCATTCAGATCTAGGATGTGTTATTTTAGTGTTCCCTTTATTTTTTTGAGCAGTGTATATCAACGGAAAGCGTTAAAAAGAGGTGCTGTTTTTTTGGACCGATTTGCCTAATGATTTGTCAACTCGCGCACAATTTCTCCGTCCTTGACATCGGAGTGCTGCTGCTGGCTCTTTGCATGTCTTGACCAATCAGTCACGGAAACTGCAGGTTGTGCAGGTCGTGCACAACACACAAAGCTCAAGGCTCCATACCACTTTCCTCCGGTATTTATTTCGCAAGCGTGATAACACATCACTCCAGACACAAGCAAAAACTTGGACATAAATGTAGCAGCCTATACACCTAAACATTAGCGACCTGACATGCTGTATAAGTAAGCATTTCACTGTAATGTCTGCACCTGTTGTATTCGGCGCATGTGACCAATAAAATTTGATTTGATTTGAAACGATACTATTTTTCAGCCTGATCAACTGTAGGCTACTAACAGCAGCAGCTGCATAGTCTAGCCTACTATGCACCCTGTCCCTCTGGCAAGGGTAAACAAAGCCGTAAGTTACCGCTGGTAACGTTGTGTACGCTATTGAAAGGCCATTTGTTTGTGAGGAAATGTGAATAATAATAATTGAATTTGTAAAGCGCTTTTCTCACACCTAAGGTGCTGAAGAAAATTTGTAATAATAAAAACAATCCAAAACACAGAACATTGTAAGCAGACAACAACAAAGCCATATAGTGGTGTGGTCAGATCCGGTGGACAGGAGAACAGAATTAAACATGGGTCCTTGAAAGCTTTTCTGAACAGCTCCATCTTTAGCTGTGCCTTAAACGAGGCCAGAGACTCTGCAGCCCTGACATAATTGGATCAAATTTGGTTTATATTCAAATTTGGGCTGACTAGGCTACCTAGACTTTTTCGATCCAAAATGATTAAGTGGAATGAATTAATAAATACAATAGCTGACATGGACTGTGAGTTCATTTTTTATTAGGCCTACAGTTGCATAGGCATAAGGCAGGACTACACGATGCAAACCTGCATAAAGCAAGCTCTGCCCTATGAGTTTATTGTCCAATCATGTTGCTTTCTCTGTGCCTGTGTATAGGAAACACCCCTAGTCCTTCTTTAAAATATAATTAATATGAACAAGTACAAGGTTGCTGCAGTTCGACAGGGGTTTCATCCTCCACAAGGCCAGGAGTAAAAAAACCTTGTGACCTGATTAGAAAAACTCAGGTCTCATCATGGCCCACATTAAACCTTTTTAAAACAGATCATGTCATACCGTATAAGGCCCGGAGTTTTACCTGGTTAGGTAACCAGATCAGGAAAAACTACGGGCCCCAGATTATTTTTTCTCGCTACACCACTCTGGGACCTGTGGTGCCACCTCTGGCATGGGATTACCCATAAAATAAAATGTTATTGGTCGCATACACATATTTAGAAGATGTTATTGCGGGTGTAGCGAAATGCTTGTGTTCCTAGCTCCAACAGTGCAGTAATATCTAACAATTCACAGGAATCTAAGAGTAAAAGAATGGAATTAAGAAATATTAGGACGAGCAATGTCGGAGTCCGGACTATAAATAAATATATATGCACAGTGCATTCAGAAAGTATTCAGACCCGTTGACTTTTTCCACATTGTTACATTACCGCCTTATTCTAAAATTAAAAAAGAATCCTCATCAATCTACGCACAATACCCCATAATGACTAAGCGAAAACAGATTTTTTGAAATGTTTGCAAATGTATAAAAATAAAACGGAAATATCTTATTTATATAAGTATTCAGACCCTTTGCTATGAGACTCGAAAATTGAGCTCAGGTGCAGCCTGTTTCCATTGACCATCCTTGAGATGTTTCTACAACTTGATTAAGTCCACCTGTGGTAAATTCAATTGATTGGACATGATTTGGAAAGGCACACACCTGTCTATATAAGGCCCCACAGTTGACATTGCATGTCAGAGCAAAAACCAAGCCATAAGATCGAAGGAATTGTCCGTAGAGCTCCGAGACAGGATTGTGTCGAGGCACAGATCTGGGGAAGGGTACCAAAACATTTCTGCAGCATTGAAGGTCCCCAAGAACACAGTGGCCTCCATCATTCTTAAATGGAAAAAGGTTTGGAACCACTAAGACTCCTCCTAAAACTAGTCGCCCTGCCAAACTGAGCAATCGGGGGAGAAGGGCCTTGGTCAGGGAGGTGACCAAGAACCTGATGGTCACTCTGACAGAGCTCCAGAGTTCCTCTGTGGTGATGGGAGAACCTTCCAGAAGGACAACCATCTCTGAAGCACTCCACCAATCAGGCCTTTATGGTAGAGTGGCCAGACGGAAGCCACTCCTCAGTAAAAGGCACGACAGCCCGCTTGGAGTTTGCATAAAGGCACCAAAAAGGACTCAGACCATGAGAAACAAGAATCTCTGGTCTGATGAAACCAAGATTGAACTCTTTGGCCTGAATGCCAAGCGTCACATCTGGAGGAAACGTGGCACCATCCCTACGGTGAAGCATGGTGGTGGTGGCAGCATCATACTGTGGGGATGTTTTTCAGCGGCAGGGACTGGGATACTAGTCAGGATCGAGGGAAAGATGAACGGAGCAAAGTACAGAGAGAGCCTTGATAAAAACCTGCTCCAGAGCGCTCAGGACCTCAGATTGGGCCGAAGGTTCACCTTCCAACAGGACAATGATCCTAAGCACACAGCCAAGACAACGCAGGAGTCGCTTCGGGACAAGTCTCTAAATGTCCTTGAGTGGCCCAGCCAGAGCCCGGACTTGAACCCGATCGAACATCTCTGGAGAGACCTGGAAATAGCTGTGCAGTGACGCTCCCCATCCAACCTGAGAGCGCTTGAGAGGATCTGCAGAGAAGAATGGTAAAAACTCCCCAAATACAGGTGTGCCAAGCTTGTAGCGTCATACCCAAGAAGACTCAAGGCTGTAATATCTGCCAAAGGTGCTTCAACAAAGTACTTAGTAAAGAGTCTGAATACTTATGTAAATGTAGTATTTCTAAAAACCAGTTTTTGCTTTGTCATTATGAAGTATTGTGTGTAGATTGATGAGGGGGGAAAAACAATTTAATCCATTTTAGAATAAGGCTGTAACATAACAAAATGTGGAAAAAGTCAAAGTCCGTTTATTTTTATCATAAAAAAACTCTCCTAGTCCTTGCCGATGACAAGCATACCCATAACATGATGCAGCCTCCACCATGCTTGAGAATATGAAGAGTGGTACTCAGTGATGTGTTGTGTTGGATTTGCCCAAACATAACACTTTGTATTCAGGACATAAAGTTCATTTCTTTGCCACATTCTTTGCTGTTTTACTTTAGTGCCTTATTACACCATGATGCATGTTTATTCTGTACTGGCTTCCTTTTCACTCTGTCATTTAGGTTAATATTATGGAGTAACTATACTGAACAAAAATATGAATGCAACATGTAAAATGTTGGTCACATGTTTCATGAGCTGAAATGAAAGATCCCAGAAATGTTCCATGTGCACAAAAAGTGTATTTCTCTCAAATTTTGTGCGCAAATTTGTTTACATCCCCATTAGTGAGCATTTCTCCTTTGCCAAGATAATCCATCCATCTGACAGGTGTGGCATATCAAGAAGCTGATTAAACAGCATGATCATTACACAGGGGCTGGGGAAAATAAAAGGCCAATCTAAAATGTGCAGTTGTGTCACACAACACAATGCCACAGATGTCTCAAGTTTTGAGGGAGCGTGCAATTGGCATGCTGACTGCAGGAACGTCCACCAGAGCTGTTGTCAGATAATGTAATGTTCATTTCTCTACCATAAGCCATTGTCATTTTAGAGAATTTGGCAGTATGTCCAACTGGCCTCACAACCGCAGACCACGTGTAACCACACCAGCCCAGGACCTCCGCTTATTCACCTGCAGGATCATCTGAGACCAGCCACCTGGAAAGCTGATGAAACTGAGGAGTATTTCTGTCTGTAATAAAGCCCTTTTGTGGGGAAAAACTAATTCTAATTAGCTGGGCCTGGCTCCCCAGTGGGTGGGCCTGGCTCCCAAGTGGGTGGGCCTATGCCCTCCTAGGCCAACCCATGGCTGCGCCCCTGCCCAATCATGTGAAATCTATAGATTAGGGCCTAATGTATTTATTTAAGTTGACTGATTTCCTTATATGAATTGTAACTCAGTAAAATCGTTAATTGTTGCGTTTATATTTTTGTTTAGTATACAATGTTGCTGATCCATCCTGAGTTCTCCTAACACAGCGATTCAACTTTGTAACTGTTTTAAAGTCACCATTGGCCTCATGGTGAAATCCGGGAGTGGTTTCCTTCCTCTCCGGCAACTGAATTAGGAAGGACGCCTGTATCTTTGTAGTGACTGGGTGTATTGATACACCATCCAAAGGGTAATTAATAACTTCACCATGCTCAAAGGGATATTCAATGTCTGTTTTTTTCATTTTTACCCATCTACCAATAGGTGCCCTTCTTTGCGAGGCATTGGAAAACTTCCCTGGCCTTTGTGGTTGAATCTGTGTTTGATATTCACTGCTCGACTAAGTGGCCTTAGAGATAATTGTATGTGTGGGATACAGAGATGAGGTATTCCTAACAAAAAAAATGGTAAACACTATTATTGCACACAGAGTTAGTCCATGCAACATATTAAGTGACTTGTTAAGCACATTTTTACTCCTGAAATTAGTCTTGCCATTACAAAGGAGTTGAATACTTATTGACTCAAGACAATTAATTTGACTCAAGACAATTAATTTGTAAAACTTTCTAAAAACATAATTCCACTGTAACATTTTGGGTTATTGTGTGTAGGCCAGTGACCCAAAAAATCTAAACGTAATCCATTTAAAATTCAGGCTGTAACCCAACACAATGTGGAAAAAGTCAAGGGGTTGAATAGTTTCTGAAGGCACTGTACTTTCATTGCAGGAAGCAGGTTAATGAACATTACTATTGACCAAATAATAGTTTTAGAACAAAAATGTACAGGACGTTGTGTAGCCTAATCACTGACGTAAGCAAAATTGCTTCGGTAAGAGGAGGGCAATGTTAGGGGTCGTAAATGTTCGGTTTTTTGTTCCAGCTCTAGTAAGTGTTGTTGTCTATCAAATTGTATATGCTACCGTGCGCTCTCCCCTGGCAACGGCCTGTCCAATCAGTTCTTTCACGGGACCTCCTATGTGTATAAAGCATTTTTTTAATGGGTGTTATATTAAAGACCAAAGGTGGCGCGTGAATTTTAAGTTTGGGAAAGTTTCTAATTTATCCTACCATTTCTACCGATCTGTGTGACAGTTAGGATTTTCATATGGGCATTTTAGTGGAACAGTTGCATTTAAATAATAACGTTTTATTTTCTCAAAATCATTGTCACATGGTTAATCATAAAAATCTGAATGAAAATGATAAAAATCTTTCAAATTCAACTAATGAGAGAGCACCAGCCTCTGCCATACGGACACATTGATACACCGTGATCCATTGGTGGCTAAAGAAATTAGCGCATGGAACTCAAAGATATCATATAGGCCAATGCAGAAGTAGGCCTATAACTTCCATCATCAACTAAGTAAAATACATAGGCCTAAAGCTGACAAATAAAAACAGTAGAAAATATCCTGATGAAAGTTCAGGTTCTTTCAATCGCATACTCCGCCTGTCTGCCTCCCTTTCTATCTGTCTCGACTTTAGCTATTGCTAGTGAAGTGCAACATTGTATCAAATCAATCAACTGGGTCCGGCCCCGAAGCTGTCGCTAGCAAACATTCTACACTGTATCAACTTGCCTATTCCGGGACCTCAGAGTTTTCCGCGAAAGTGAGCTCGGGACAAATAGATGTTTTTGTGCATGGGAAAAATATTCAGGTATTTTATGACGTTTCCACTGGATATATGGGATCATCAGATCATGTTATTTTGCTATTTTCAAACTCGTAAATGATGGTTATGAAATAAACCAAAACTTGTTTCACACAAGTGTAGCAGGTTGTGAACTCTGCAAACAACGTTTCCACTCCGAGAATGAGAACAGTAAATTACAAATTAATACATGCATTAACAGAAAACAATGTAACCAAATGACAGGGATCAACGGTACATTTACTAGGCCTACTTGTGACATACTTAATGGGGAGTTTATTAAAATAAACAATCAAAGGGCAAACAATTCACACAATGAAACAATTAAATGTGCAAGAATTGGCGGGAGACCAACTGAGTGCATTCTGGAGAGCTGAGTGTATGTATTCTGGAGAGACGCGCCATATCTTAGCCACACAACCCTCCCCTTCTTTTTGTCTCAACATTTTCAAATATTATACTCAAGATACATTATCTTAACACATATTTTAGATGTTTTCACTGACAGCCACAACTCAATAATCAGCTAGGCTTATTGCAACACGCTTCCCAAATTGCGGATTTGGAAAAATCCACAGCTATTAATTTTTTTGGCTAATGATCCTCTGTGGCTAACTCATGCTCTCTGGTGAAGTATTTTGAATTATTTTGTTTAGACAGGAGTAATTATACAATTTACTTTAGGGGAAGCCAGTATCCGACCAGTGCACTGTGCACCTGCCAACTTTTCTTTACAATTCGCAAGTGGCTGTTACCAGAGATCTGTATATAATGACGAGAGGCTCATGTCTACGCCCTAACAATGAGAGTCGTTGTCCCAAAGGCGGGAAGGCAGGCGACAAGTTTAGGTCTGCATATTAAGCCCATAGAAACGCATTGGGCTTATTCTTGACAGATTTTGGCGAGATTGAGCCCTCTCGCTTCGCCTCTTCCCCTCTGCTGAAACTATCTCACCGGAAAAAGCATCCGAGCGAGCGAAACAGCGCCCCTCTGTCTTACTATATGTAGCCCATGTATCTGATGCTGTCTGGACAAAAAGAGTATGACATGCCATACACTTTTTGTCCAGACTAGAGGTCTTCACGGATCCACCTGTAACCGAATACCTGATACCCAATCGGGCCCGGATTCAGAATTCTAAATAATGTCACGGGTCTGGGTCGGATCTGATATGATTGTCGTGGGTCTCGGGTATGTGTAATTTTAACTGACTTGTCTGGAAGGACCCGTACAGATCAGAACGCGACTGATGCAGTAGAGCGAGATAAATTGTATAATGTATGCTGCTGGTCTTTTCACGAGAGTGGTGTGTGGCGCGTGTAGCTTGTTATTGTTGGCCAACTAGAAGTCTTTAAAGCGGCAATAGGCCACAGTCATAGAGCAAAAGTTAGGAGATTACGGAATTAAAAGTTTAAAGGAGAAGGATAGGCTACAATGACCAAGAGCCAACAAGTAGGCTACTATTCTTAATATTCTGAATGGAGTTGTTATTTGTAACTGTAGGACGAGAAAGCGCATGCAGACTCAATTAGCCTAGCTAGTTAGCTATCTTAAACAGCTTCTCCCGGTTTAATGCAGTCAAGACAGGTACTACGTAATCATATTGGATGATAAATAACGGTTTGTGCTATCTGGGATTCTGGGGACATCCCTATCCCATTGAAGTAGAAATGTAAAATGGTTAAGGTAAGGGTTAAGGTTAGGTAAGGCTTATGGTTAGGGTTTAGGGTAGAGACGTCCCAAGGACCCAAGATAGCACTGACCGATAGATAACCTAGCTATGGCAGCTATAAGTCTACTATAGTGCGATTTGGCTTGGTTGGTTGCCGTCTCTCCCTCCCTCCTCCCAGTGTCACTCGCTCACAGTAGAGGGCCCCTTCCCCACCTCTTAGAGCGGCACCTCTCTCTCCCTTGTGCTTTATCAGCTACGATTAATAAAGTGGCTTTAAAAATATATTTTCTGTTGCTTCCCTCAATTAAAGATCGAATTGGACCGGATCTGGACCAGGTCTATACGGAACAGATCTAGTTGTCCTCGGCTCCGGGTCTCTGTATTCAAAAATTTTATTTATGCATATCGGGTCCGGGTGGGAAAGCCCCAGGTCCATTTTAGAACGTGAAGACCTCTAGTCCAGACAGCATCAGATACATGGTCTACACCAGGGTTCTTCAATTCCGGTCCTGGAGGGCCGAAACACTTCTGTTTTTTATTTCTACCTGGTAGTTAATTGCACTCACCTGGTGTCCCAGGTCTGAATTAGCCCCTGATTAGAAGGAGAGGATGAAAAACAGAGGTGTTTCGGCCCTCCAGGACCGGAATTGAAGAACCCTGGTCTACACATAGTGATAGAGGGGCGCTGTTTTGCTCGCTCAGATGCTTTATCTGAGATTGATGCGTCTTTCTGTCGTCAGAGCCCGTCTTGGTCAAATTAACAATATTTTTATATTTGATTTGGACGGGCAAGGAGGTACGGTAGGGCGGGACCCATAACGCCGGCCCTCTCTAACATCTTGCAAGTGCGCCTCGAGTATTATTTGATCTTTTTCATTTTTTCCCCCATGATGGTAACAATTAAGCAGCGGTACAATATAACGGAAAAACTGTAGTCATGTCCGTCACATTTTTTAAGACCTTTGAAAACATTTCTTAAATTTAGTTAAGACTCATCAAGGCCTTTAAATCAGATCAATTAATTTATGACTTTTTAAGGACGCGCTGGCACCCTGTGTAAATACATTTGATTTGTTATACACACTTATTGCAACATAATAGAGGATATAAATGTCCCATTATTTGAACTTCAACTTGTCATGCTTACAGCAACTGTCACAGACAGACTGATTCACCGACATAAATACTTTCATACTCAAATGCCATCTCTAGCACACTAAAGTGATTGAGGGTGGAGACACTGCCCTAGAGGGGTCTGTAGGCCTATCTGTAGGGGAAGTGTAATTTTTAGTGTACAGCTTCAGGCTTCCACCCACCCGTGAGTGACCGTCTTGAGAAGGCTCCAGAACACAGGTTGGGGTAGGGATCCCCGGGACCCCCCTTTCCTGTCACATCCTCTGGACTTGGAGCGGACATATTTGCTCTTGATGCCGTGGACAAAGACAGCCTCCAGGGCGCAGCACAGCAGGTTGGCATCACCATCCTCGCTGGTTACCACGGCATCGGTCATCACGTAGCGCTTCTGAAGAGCCTTGAGTGACCACGCCAACTTCTCTTTGATCCACTAAAGAAATGGTGACATGGGTTAAATCAAAATGGATATATAGTATTCCGTTTTCTACCTCTCTGCTTCCCTTTCACTTGGGCAACTACAATCACTCTCATTTTAAATGACAACCTGAAATGTAGGCCTATTAATGTGGAAATCAACATTACATACAGTAACTGAGTGAAAACCTCTCTGCATAAAGAACCAAAGGTGAATGGCAGTGGGACATTATATTGCTTCCATTATGGCATCAATCAGATCAAACATTTTGTCATGATGACTAGGATCAGCCATCAGCCTCGGGTCAAAATATTGTGCAATAAAGGTTGCAGGGAGCAATATAGTTTGTGGGCCTTTAATGATAAACACAGCATCATGTGATGCAAAATGCATCATACCGGCTGTATTTCTGTATTTTGAAAGTTATATATCTTGAAAACTTGATTGTTGACATGCAAAACATTTGGGGACTACATCAACAATGGACTAATAAAACAAATACCAAAAGATAGTTTTTGGGTGGAGATTTCCTTTAACATACAGGTGCGAACATTTTACTCGCATATGTGCCTAATTATTTTGTTGTGTGACCTGGAATTTTTATTTAGGAGAACCAGATGATAATTGTTGCATTGATTACTGTACCGCAGCCCGAGTGCCATGGAAAATACACTGAGCGCAGATTCATGACAGTCATGATTGCAACATTATTACAAAGAAAACTGCTTGTTACCTCAAATATTTTTCATTGTGCTCCTAACTTTTTCCACTGGTGCTATCAACTTTTTCAGTTGGTTGCACCCAATTGTTTGTTTATCAATTGTTTTATTATTATTTATTTTTTTAATGACCTGGCCTGTGTCCCATAATGTACCTGCATTCCATACAGAACCAGGCTAATAATGACTAGCCATCTTTTAAATTAGCATGCCCTTGCGTTATTACATTGATTTGGATAGATTTACTGTAATAGCAAAGAAAAAAGTGTTAAAATAAAGTGCACAATATTTTTATTGCAGATTTCAAAGTGCAATGTGTTATTTTCTGTGAAATCGTCTAGATCGCAGAATTTGAAAAAACGATTCTTGATGCTGAAAGAATACTGCGGCAAAAACATTTATAAAGCAGGGAGAAAGGCTGATTTCCTCAAGAAGGAAAAGCAGCCAACAAGTGCTCAGCATATGTGGGAACTCCTTCAAGACTGTTGGAAAAGCATTCCAGGTGACTACCTCATGAAACTGGTTGAGAGAATGCCAAGAGTGTGCAAAGCTGTCATCAAGGCAAAGGGTGGCTAATTTAAAATGATAAACTTGGATTAGCAAACACAACGTGCCATTGGAACACAGGACTGATGGTTGCTGATAATGGGCCTTTGTACGCCTACGTAGATATTCCATTAAAAATCAGCCGTTTCCAGCTACAATAGCCATTTACAACATTAACAATGTCTACACTGTATTTCTGATCAATTTGATGTATTCTAATGGTTAAAAAAGTAGCTTTTCTTTAGAAAACAAGGACATTTCTAAGTGACCCCAAACTTTTGAACGGTAGTATATATTGTTGTGACGTGACTTACTTTAATGTATGACTGTTATTTATCGAATCACCTAACTATGTTTAATTGTCACTCGATTAAATTAATCATGTAACAATTAACTCATTAGGAATTTGGGGCACCACGGAAGAAGTTGTTTAACGAGTTGCCATCTCCCGAATTAAACTCTTAGAAGATAATTTTTATCATAGGTACACTTCAACTGTGAGAGACGGAATCTAAAACAAAAAGTATTTGATACATCAGAAAAGCAGAACTTTATATTTGGTACAGAAACCTTTGTTTGCAATTACAGAGATCATATGTTTCCTGTAGGTCTTGACCAGGTTTGCACACACTGCAGCAGGGATTTTGGCCCACTCCTCCATACAGACCTTCTCCAGATCCTTCAGGTTTCGTGGCTGTCGCTGGGCAATACGGACTATCAGCTGCCTCCAAAGATTTTCTATTGGGTTCAGGTCTGGAGACTGGCTAGGCCACTCCAGGACCTTGAGATGCTTCTTACGGAGCCACTCCTTAGTTGCCCTGGCTGTGTGTTTCGGGTCGTTGTCATGCTGGAAGACCCAGCCACGACCCATCTTCAATGCTCTTTCTGAGGGAAGGAGGTTGTTGGCCAATATCTCGCGATACATGGCCCCATCCATCCTCCCCTCAATACGGTGCAGTCGTCCTGTCCCCTTTGCAGAAAAGCATCCCCAAAGAATGATGTTTCCACCTCCATGCTTCATGGTAGGCATGGTGTCCTTGGGGTTGTACTCATCCTTCTTCTTCCTCCAAACACGGCGAGTGGAGTTTAGACCAAAAAGCTCTATTTTTGTCTCATCAGACCACATTACCTTCTCCCATTCCTCCTCTGGATCATCCAGATGGTCATTGGCAAACTTCAGATGGGCCTGGACATGCGCTGGCTTGAGCAGGGGGACCTTGCGTGCGCTGCAGGATTTTAATCCATGACGGCGTAGTGTGTTACTAATGGTGTTCTTTGAGACTGTGGTCCCAGCTCTCTTCAGGTCATTGACCAGGTCCTGCCGTCTAGTTCAGGGCTGATCCCTCACCTTCCTCATGATCATTGATGCCCCACGAGGTGAGATCTTGCATGGAGCCCCAGACCGAGGGTGATTGACCGTCATCTTGAACTTCTTCCATTTTCTAATAATTGCTCCAACAGTTGTTGCCTTCTCACCAAGCTGCTTGCCTATTGTCCTGTAGCCCATCCCAGCCTTGTGCAGGTCTACAATTTTTTCCCTGATGTCCTTGCACAGCTCTCTGGTCTTGGCCATTGTGGAGAGGTTGGAGTCTGTTTGATTGAGTGTGTGGACAGGTGTCTTTTATACAGGTAACGAGTTCAAACACGTGCAGTTAATACAGGTAGTGAGTGGAGAAAAGGAGGGCTTCTTAAATAAAAACTAACAGGTCTGTGAGAGCCGGAATTCTTACTGGTTGGTAGGTGATCAAATACTTATGTCATGCAATAAAATGCAAATGAATTACTTAAAAATCATACAATGTGATTTTCTGGATTTTTGTTTTAGATTCCGTCTCTCACAGTTGAAGTGTACCTATGATAAAAATTACAGACCTCTACATGCTTTGTAAGTAGGAAAACCTGCAAAATCGGCAGTGTATCAAATACTTGTTCTCCCCACTGTATGTTATATATATATCGATAACAGTCACTTATTAAATAATTACCTTTTATCAGTCTCATTCTGAACGTTGCATAATCCTTGAACCTGCAAGAACCCTAACCTTATTGATGAATCAGCAATACACAAATTGGCTTAATTATTTATTTACTAACTAACTAAATAATAACACAATACAAACACACATAAATTATTGATTACTAACGTAATACAATGAAAACGGGTCCCTAGTGGACTGGACTAACATTCGCATGACTGCTTGGGTAGAAGGAGGGTCAGAATGGAAGGGAGAGAGAGATTCAAACTATCGTTGTTACTTTGGAGACTAGGCTCACAGTAATCTTAATACTTATGCACCCTAATAACGCTCATTCGGATTAGAAATGCAACATGTATTTAGGTGTTGCTGTCCTCGATAGTTGAGTTGATGATGTAGGACTCTGGTTTACCCACCAGAGATCTCAATGTCCTTGGTAGAGTTTCTGGTCGTAGTTGTGGTTAGAATGGATACTTCAGATGTACCAGCGGTTGTCTGAGAGGGATTGTCCTTCCCACTTCGTGTCTTTAGTGAAAGTTCTCTAGACGACTATACATGCCAGCTGCAGACTGAAATGATAAGGTCTAGTGCATTGTCTTCTTCTTCACCTCGTGTAGAGGTTAAGAGTTTCAGAGTTTCTCCATTTCAAACGTGTGGACTAACGTCTCACGTTTTCTGGTCTTTCTAGTCTAACCATTTTGTAATGTGTAGATACAGCTTCACGCTTGTTGGTCTTGTAGAGTGTCAACCATTTTAAGCCATGGGGCTTACTGGTCTGGTAGAAATTCAACCATTTGCAACTTTTGGCTCATGCTTCACGTATGCTGGTCTAAAGGTTGATTTGTTTTTCAAGGCTTTTTATGCACTCGGGGTAAAAGGGGTGTTCCATCATGTTTATACGATCTCTGATGTCACTAGGGGCGTGGCTAGTCACTGCATAGTTTATATGAAAAACTATTATCTAATTTAGAAGACAAAAATCACATTCCTATCTTCAACAAAATACTCTCATACTTAATCATATATTTTATACAACATTTAGATGTAAACTTGATAGATAGAATATGTACACTTTCCGAGTTACAGTTATTACTTGATACCATCCTTAAATGACATCACAAAATAATAAACAATATGACATTATTATTCTTTAGATCCCCACTGACCATTTCCCACATTGTTTTAAGTAGGAATATTGTTTCATTATCCACTTTTGGATGTTGGAGTCTTGGCGGGAAGACTTCCTTTGTCTCACAGGGATATTCTTTCTTCCGATACTAGAGACCAAAAGGAGTCCTTTTCTGCAAACTATTTATGACCGGCTGTTAAGTCATAAAACTGGCCCCCAGGAAAGGGGGTGTTCAAACCTTTGCCTAACAGGACTGTTTGATCCTCAACCCATGAGGGCAAGTCATGACTATATATATAGTCATATACACACACACACACACACACACACACATATATATATATATGACAGAAAGACAACGCAGCAGTGGCTTCGGGACAAGTCTTTGAATGTCCTTGCGTGGCCCAGTCAGAGCCCGGACTTGAACCCGATCTAACATCTCTGGAGAGACCTGAAAATAGCTGTGCAGTGACGCTCCCCATCCAACCTGACAGAGCTGGAGAGGATCTGCAGAGAATAATGGGAGAAACTCCCCAAAGACAGGTGTGCCAAGCTTATAGCGTCATACCCAAGAAGACTCAAGGCTGTAATCGCTGCCAAAGGTGCTTCAACAAAGTACGCCGTAAAGGGTCTGAATACTAATGT